GGCGGAGGAGTTCTGCTGAATCGTAGGCTTCCCTGAAGGCAGTGTTGGCTAGCTGCTGAAAGGGCTGCCTTAAAGCTTGACTGTAGTGGTCCTGAACCCACCATAAGGAGTGTTACTTCACTCAGGAGTCAGAGGGGGCCATTGAAAGTTTTTGAGGAAGGGAGTAATAACCTCACAGCTGAATTAAGCAAAGGTATACAACAGGAGGGTGCCTTTTATGGAGCGCCAGCAGGCTCGCCAATGGGCAAACCCCTAAGGGCCCCCAGGTAGGAATTTGTCATCCAAGTTCAAAAAAGAAGTTGGAGTTGGAGATGGAGATTTGAGAATGTTCCCAAGCAACGCTGGAACCATGAGAACAAATGAGATCTTCTATGTAGAGAATGTAGGGAAGAGAGAGATGATGGCTTAGGAGGAAATCTTAAGGGCAACCAGAATAGGAAGAGGCAGCAGGGAAAGTATTATCAAGGGGATAGGAGGACATCCAAGAGAGCCACTTGATGGGGACTCACAGGAGATGACAGCACTTCCAGAGTGGGCATTAGTGCAAAGTGCTACAGAGGTCAAAGCCTGAGAAAAGGGGCTTGGAATCTGCCATGAGGATCTCTCTGTTAACCTTCAAGAGGGCCACTTCAGTGTAGGTGGGGGCAGGAACTTGATTACGGACAGCCCCAAAAAGAGTGGTGACAAAGTAGAGTGTGTGGCTGTAAAAGAAAGAAGAAACTAGGACAGTAAGTTGACAGAGGGTGTGTGGGGAGAGACAGCAATATCAAGGGAAGATTGACATTGTTGGCTGTGCACACACCTGAGGTCAGGGAGAGGAAGCCTTGGAGAATGAACAATTACAGATGCTGATGTTGGAATAATACTGGGTGCAGAGCAGGCTCCCACAAGCATGGGGAGAGCGTAGGGAGGGCTAATCTTGCAAAGGATGAGGGAGTGCATGAAGGGTCGTAGAGCTGGAGGCCAAGCAGTGAGAATTTGAGTATGTCACGTGTGTTGCCCTTTATTTTTGTAGTAGTATCTGCAGTTGGGTTACTGATAGGAAGGTAAACATGGAGACTTGAGAGCCAGCAAGGGCATGAAGGGGGCTGGGAGGAGTATCTGTGGATTTGGCCCCTGCAATCTCTTTGTTCATTCTTTAAGACAAAGGCAGGGTGGGACTCCTTAACCCAGGAGCAACGCTTGCTCATCTACATGGTGGAGGCTGTGACTCCAGTTGTAACTCTCACCAGGCTTCTCTCAAAGAACTTATCGTATCTCTGTGTGTCCTCATTTTCTCACAGTTGAGTTGAATTATTTCCAGAGAAAATGATAGCATGATTCTTAAGAGCCAACTGACTAGTGTTATTTTTCAAGTCTTGGCTTGTCTGGTTACAGACCTAAACCTGTCCTTTTTCACTTGTGACCTTCTTACCAGTATGTACAGTAATTTCAAGCATCTTAATTATCAGGGCAATAATTAGGAGGTTTCCCTGTTTTCAGGTTCAAGTCAGTGTCAGTTTCATTGCTTTCAGCTAACAAGTTTTCTTAAAAGAGAAAATACCACAGTGCAGCCTGCTTTAACTGTTAAATAACCAGGACACTAAGTAATAGACTACATTCAATGGTAGACCTTAGACTAAATCTCAATTCAGAACTAGCTCTGGACAGTATCATCCTCCCCGTGGATCCTTTTCTTATTTCAGTCACTAAATTTGAGTTGGATAGGATAGATTATTAGTTGGGAATCATTTGGTTGGAAGTAATAGAAATCCTTGTCTAAATAGTTTAGCTTTAAAATTAAAAGAAAATAAAAGAATTTATGGATATTGGTCCATGTAACTTAGGTGGATTGACTTTAAGCAAGGCTGTATCCAGGGGCTTAAACAGTGTTGTCAGGATTCTGTTTCTGACTCTTCCCTCCCTGTTTGGCTCCATCATCACTGGGAGCCTCAGTTCTGCATCTTTAGAACTTAGAATCCCCTTTTCCTTCCAGAACTTAGAGCCCCTTTTCCTTCCAGCTTCCCTATTCCAAACTCAGGGAAGCCCATCCCTGAGCCAGTCACCATGCACTGAGAAATGAAAGACTCTGGCCAGCCTAGGTCACACATCCACCTGGGATGAGGTGGTGAGGCATCTTAAGTGGTATCTCACCAGGATCAGAGGAGAAGGTGTCTCCCCGAAGGGAAACTAAAGAGGAGGAAGAAAGGGATGCTAAGTTAGCAAAACCCAAAGAGGTCTACTCTAAATACCGTCGCACAAATCCTAAACAGTAGACACAAAGAGCTCTTCCAGTCTGTGGTTATTTTTGAAAGGCTCTCAAGGTTTATTATTTGTAGTTGCTAATGTTGGTTGTGATTTTCCCTGGATTGACATCTAGATGAAAGCAACGAAGGCTCCCACAGGCTTTGACTCAGTGGAGAGCTGTAAAGTGACTTTGGGAGGAATGCACATAATTTTCAATGTTCCTTTAAAGTCATCTGTTTCTCTAGGGTCTGCACATCGACTTGAATTGGTTCCAGTAAAAGGAGTTTGGTTCAGCAATCATCTGGTTTCAGTCAGGCCAGAAAGTAAACCATGAGAAAAGATTTGGGCACTCAGGTCCCAACTGAAAGTAGGAAGTACAGAGGTTTGTGAAGTTAATAGATGTAAAAAGGGTGATGCTGAGAGAGACTGAGGGAGAGGGAGGAAGGACACCCAAATGCATGTTGATGGACACACCCTGTCACAGCCGAGGTTCCTTCCTTTGTTCACAGCAGTGAGCTGCCTCACCTCTCCTGCCCTGCCTTCCCTACCACGCACAGGCCTAAGTGGTTCCTGCACTGCTCTGTCACTACAGAACTGTCTCAGAAGCTTGTTTAGAAAAATGCCATTTTCCCAATCTTCTCACTACCACACCTACAAGCTATATTTTAGTGCAAACCTCTGTGAACAAGAAGGATGCTTAAATTAGACAGCTGTCCAATTAAGGTGGTATTTTGCCACTATTTTTAAACCACAGTGATATGAGCATGCCTGGACCCCTCCCCTCCCTGATGGATAGCCAGTCTGCACAGCACATCCAAAATCCCCTCTATCATAGATCTTTCTATAAAGTGTTGTTGAAAATAGATCCAGTAAAGCCGACAGAGATATAAGAGCTTTATCTAATTCATGTGAAGGCTTTTTAAAAATTATCTCATATATTTGAGGGAAACCTGTTCATCTCACTTAATATGACAGTGTCAGCATTACCATCTAGCTCAGAGAAAATGTAAATCATGATTGTTCCCTCTCTTCATGACTTAACAACAAAAATGTTTGTAGTTTCCAAGTGGCATTTAGACACCGTAACAAAGCCAGAGTTTAAAACAATCATCAATTCTTGGTTTTCAAAATATGTAGAAAACTCAATGAAAGGTTGTAGGATGTGTGATAGTAATGCCCCCATTCTACTTGTACTCACTATTTAGTAGTTTGTCATTGTTCATATTCTAAGAATGAGTCTCAAAAGTCTTCCTTTGGACTGGCAATGAGGTTTCAGTTGTATTTCTTTTGATCTTCCTAATGATATTCAAGTGGGCACTATTAATAAAATTTTATAGATGACGAAACAGAGGCCCAGAGGGGTTAAGGGTCTTGCCAAAGTCACACAGCAAGTAAAGGAAGGTCCAGGGGCTCCTCCTTTGGTCCAGTGCTCACTCCAACCCTCCAGGGCTGCATCTCTGGTCTGTGAAGCTCATCCTCTAGTGGTTCCGTGTGTGATTTGCCCTGTTTTCCTGTCATTCTTTCACCGCTGCCCTCAGGCAAACCAGACCTGCTTTTCCTTTGCTTTATGCACTTGGGGTGCCGCAAATGAGACAGGAAGCAAAGGATGTCTTTCTTGGTCATTGTTAGACTTCCTGATACCTCTGCTCCCATCTCCCTGGGTCAGTCTGGGCATGGTGAGGCTCCCCTTCTCATCCTGGTTGGCAGGGCAGGCTGCCACATGGTGCGTTGGTTGTGAATTTTGGGAAGATTTGGGAAGCTATACAAACAAGGAACTAAGATCTCCAACATGCCTTCAATCCTGGCTTTGTTTCATGTCTGAGAAATGTATTGGTGGTAAATGTGCTTTTATATTAAGGAGAAACCAACACTCTAGAATTTTGTGGAATCTATTTCAATGCAATTCTAATGATGCTCAGAAACTGGACTTGCTTTGAAGGAAAGAGAATGAGTGAGAACTAAACAAGGGTCCACTTGCCCAACTAGCAGCAAAGCCAATTTACTGACTCCAGGTTGTGGTGAAGGAGAATACAGCATTTATTGTAGAGCCAAACAAGGAGGACGGGCAGCTCATGCTCAAAAGACCAGAACTCCACGATGGCTTTTAGTGAAAAGGTTTTCAAGGCAAGCTTAGGGGTGTGGCTTGCAGGGTGTCTGATCAACTCATACACAGTTCTTTGATTGGTTGATGGTAAGGTAACAAGGTGATGTTACAGGAATCTCAGTCATCAACCTTCTGGTTCCAACCTGTCTACATGCTGGTGGTCAGCATGCAGTTAACTTCCTACACTGGGTGGGAGTTTTAGTATCTGTAAAACAACTCAAGGATATGGCTCAGGATATTATCTATAACCCTTGAGGAGAATCTAAAGGTCTTTGACTTTGTTTTATGGCTCAGCTATTATTATTTTGTCTTGTTTGACTGTGTTCCTTTGTTTTTGTTTTTGTTTTTTTACTTCTCTGATTAAATTTGCTCTTTCAAACTCTGGGAAGGCCTAGGAGACTAAAGCGTTTATACAAACAAGAGGCAGGGGACATGGGCGGTGGGGCTGTCCCCAGGAAGTCCTCACAGGGTATTGCTTGGTTTCAGTGGGACTAGAAATTTAATTCCAAAATTTCTTGAGTGGCTGTAAGGGAATTAAGTTATATTTTGATTAACTTTTTAAAAAATCTAGCCATCACCTGGTCTGTCCCATCCCAACCCCCACTGCATTTATTCCCTAGGGCCTGGGCCCTTGTTGGTGATATGTTTCGTGTTCTGTTGCTTTGATCAGCTTGCCTGGGCCCAATGGCAGGGACCCTGGAGCCTGAAGGTGCTGACAAAGATGACCTGCTGCTGTTGAGTGAAATCTTCAACGCTTCCTCCCTGGAAGAGGGCGAGTTCAGCAAAGAGTGGGCTGCTGTGTTTGGAGACAGTCAGGTGAAGGAGCCAGCACTCACTGTGGCCCCAGGAGAGCCAGACTCCAAGCCCCAGACAGGCTCAGGATTCCTTCCTTCACAGCTTCTAGATCAAAATATGAAAGACTTACAGGCCTCACTGGAAGGTATGTACCACAGGGATTGAAATGGGTTTTTGTGTTGGTTCATTTTTTGTTTTTTGTTTTTTGAAATCCAGTGGCCTATTTCTCCTTATCTTTTTTTAATGTTTTCTGGGTTTTATCTTATAAAACCAGTGTTTTATAAGATAAAATATAGCTGGTGTCTTTTTTTTTTTTTGGTTTTTAAATTTTCCTTTTATATTCAGTGACTTTAGCTCAAATTTCAGAATCACGTTCCAGCTTTAAGATATGTATTAGGGTTTAAAATCTATTTCTTCTCATAATTTTCTCCTCCTGTTAACATTTCCTATTAATCAAAGGCTAGAGGGGTGGTTCTCAGTCTTACTGTCTTACTTTGATTTTAGACTTTTTCATGGCACACTTGAGGGATCAGATTGCCTTCACGGTTGTGGCTTGTTGACTTTGCCATCTCTTCCTGGCCCTCACCCTAGCTGAGTTCTCCCACATACTCATGAGGCAACATTCTCCACGTTGCCGTAGACATGGAGCTTTCTGGGTGCTTTTTTCCTCTCCATCCGGGCTTACCAGCACCCTGAGTATGCCCTCAGCTCAGCTGTTCCTGTTCTGCCTGAAACACATGGCCCAACAGTCCCCTGAAGCCCGACCACGGCAGAAGTAGAGTTTTCACACTGATCAAAAGTTATCGGCAGCATTGGTAAGGGTTTAAGGTACTCCGAGGCTCACCAGCAGCCCACATACTGGTTAAGAATTGCTTATGTGGGGAGCACATTGATTTCGAGTGCAAAAACTAACACTCAGGTTGAAATGTAAATTTTGAAGTTTGAGTTTCTAAACAAACAAACCTTGAGAAGGAAACCATTTTAGTAGTTGAACACTTTTTTCCCTCCCTTCATGCTTTAATTGTAAGACAGGAATCACTGTTAAGAAATTCTCAAATTGTTTTGGTTTTTCCATGAATTTAGGCTATCTCCTTAATAAACAACGTGTTTATCTGGCACTTAAAGCTGAGAACAAGTGGCAGAGCTCGAATGATTAAGTAATTATGGGCTATTAAATAAAAAAAAAAAAAAACACCTCAGGTCTTTGGAGACGAGATCACGGACATGACAAGAGTTGGTAGACGAGACCAAAAGAAAAGTCTTCACTCTTTTTTATGAAATACATGATTCCTTTCATCGTCCTTATTGAGTCCTATTTTGTAGCCATCTCATTTATTCTCAGTAATGGAGTTAGAGATAGGAGGGATAACTGCAATCCCAAACTACATCTCTGCCCTGACTTTCGCCCCTGGGTTTCACCACCTCTTTTGCTGGGACCTCAGATGAGCAAGGCTGACAAAGACTGGGTTTCACCACCACCCACCTGTGGCAGAGGCACTAACAAGGCGTGGGAGAGTCAGGGGCCGGAGCGGGATCCACAGCTCAGAGCTGGGGGCTGCTGGAGACTCTCCAGCTGTGCTGGAGGATGAATCCCCCTGGCGCCCCCAGCTTTGGAGACACCAGTGCCCCTGCTGCTGCCCAGGAGCAGTGGTGGCAGTGCTTCTCCCTCGCTGGTGTGGCCAAGTGTCACTCTATTGTGAGCGCCCCTGGCTGACACTGAGAAGTCAGAGCCACACGCCCTCTTCCTGAGCAGGTAGAGCAAGAAGATCTCAGCTCAGGCCCAGGGCGCTGTCCCCAGGGCTCTGCCTGAGAGCTAGGACAAGTGTGGTGGCTGTGGGCTTTGCACTTCAGCCTTGTCCCATGGCCAGGAGAAATGCACACGACCACACTTGGGTCTAAGGAGGGAGGTGATCTGATGGCAAGAGAGATGCAAGCTCGCGCTATGGAAAGAGAAAGAGGTGCTTCAAAGGGAGGCCATTTATTTCTCAGGCAAACAGAGTCTCAGTGGAGGTTACCACCCCAGTAGCACTTTAGCAAGTTTCTCATTTGTCCAACAAATATTTATTGAGTCCTCTGGGCGCCAGGCACTGGTGATTCACCTGAGAACAAAACAGACAAGGCTTCTGCCTTCCTGGAACTCACATTCTAATGAAGAGGAGATAATGAACAGTAAACATAATAAAATTACATTATAGCTTTAGAAAGTGACCAACGATGTGGAGAAAAGGAAAAAGTAGAGCCAGAGATAGTGTTGGGGGAACGACAGGGTAGATCAGGTATGGTCGAGGGTCTGCAGGGGAGGCACCGGGGTTGGAGTGAGAGAGGGAGGCACTTGGAGAGGAGACGGGTAGGGCCACATGGGACCTCATAGCCTTTGGAAGAACTCGGAACCATCACAGCATCTTGGACCGAGGATGGACATGATCTGATTTACCATAAAGGGACCATTCTGGCTGCTAAAAGTTTCCTTTCCTCTGCTGGGATTCTGTCAAGATCAATGTTAAAGGAGTTATTTTTGTAACCTCTGAGTTATCCTGTTTCCTTTGCATGCCAACAGCCATAAATTGAATGTCTCTGGAACTCAAAATGACAGAAAGAAAAGTGAACTTCAGTGTTTTAAAGAGGAAGCCCATTCAGGTTCTATACACCTACAGGTTACCAGCAGGCACACCCAACAATTCTGCCCCAGTGATGCCCTCTGATCCAGGAAACCTTCAAAACACATGTACAGATAAAGAGTGGGCTCCCTGCTCTGAGGATTGATCATGTAATCCAGTTCTAACCATATTCTGTGCTTTTGTCAGGACTCCCTCCAACCTCCTAAAAAAAGAGCAAAAGGTGGATGTTGGCTCTAGATTTTTTTCTACTGCATCCATGGTCTAGAAAATCCATCTATACACATGAATTGCAAAAGAATCTAAATAATTATTAAACTTTTGACACCTCATATTGAAACTATTTCCCCTGATTATCCAGATCATCTCAAAAACTCAATCAAATAAACCACTGAAATAAGTAAGTAGTCAAACTAAACGTGGAGTAGGAAGGCTCATTGGCATATTGGCTCAGCAAGGCAAACAGTGGTAGGGAGTTCAGAGCCTGGGTTTTATTCTGTAAACTCCCTTACCTGCACTCACTTTGCAGCAATTGGCCAGGCTACTCATTCTCTGGGCCTTTGCATTCTCGTCTGTAATACGAGGTATTAGACTCACTAAATAATCTATCAGGAGAGACGCAAGTCATCTGAAGGAGCTTTCTACTTTTCGACAAATGTCATCTTCTTACCCCTGGGTTAACCCCTACTTCGGAGATGCTGAGGTCTAAAACGGTTTGCTTCTGTGACTGTGCCCTTTATCGTGGTAAAATAATAAGAACCAGCACTCCCTATGGCACGCGCTGTGGGCCAAGCACTCCCATGTGCTTTACGTGTGTTAACTTACTTCATCCTCACCACACCCTTCGCAGGCAGGTACTGGCATCATCTCCAGCTTACAGCCTGGGAAACTGAGGAACAGGACAGTAAGTAATTTGCCCGAGATCCTACCTCTTGGTAGGAGGCAGGCCGGATTGTGGGCCTGAGCCGCCAGACTCCGGAATCCATGCCTTTCCCCATTCTGTTCTGTTGCCTCCAAGTACCATGTCTCTGACGGCAAACGCGATTCCCAGACGGGCTCCCTCAGGCCTTGCCTTGGGTGCTTCTGGAGGAGGCAGGACTTGTAAAGACTGTTATCCTGGCTCTGGGCATCCTGGGTGTGCACAGGGACTGGGGGTGGGGGTGGGGGTGCGGGTGGGGAACCACGCAGTCATGCAGGAGGCATGTGGGTGTGGGAAGGCAGGGTTGTGTCAACCACAAAAGTTGGGTGACATTCCAGAGCAGAATATGTGAAATCGAGATTGTCTACAAAAATCTTCGCCTGTGCTAGCCATCGCCCCCTCATTCACTGTAGTGCCGTCTAGCTCAGTCTCTCCACCACCTTTGTAGCTCTTTGTAAGGTCCAGGCAGAGCTGTATCCTCAGGGGCAGTGTTCAGAGGACAGAGGTGGGTGGCTCCAGGCCACAGCTGCAGATACCTCAGCTCCCTTCCACACTCCAAACCCCCGCCCTCCCCCTCCCTCGTCCACCTCTTCAGTCTTCTCGCCTCCTTATCTCTCTGCTCTCCTCTTGGGCCTGTGTCCTCACTCTCCTTTGCTCTGGGGACGTAGAAAGGAAGGGGGATTTAGTAAGAGAACAGTGATATCTTCCTTCCCCAGCCTACTTCAGCCTCTAGGAGAGCAAAAGAAAGGAACTTACATTTAGGATCGAGTTGTGCTTAACGATTTTAAGGAGTTCACTTTAGCTAGACTTTCTAAGGGTTTCTGAAGTTGCCAGCATGATAGGGGCTGGGGTTTTCTGTGTCATACAGTGATGAGCAGATTGTACCTTCCTGAGGCCTCTTAAAGTAAGTAGGAAGAGGGCCAGCCAGAGGGGCTGCCTGAGGTAGAGACCCGGCAAGGCTGACAGGCCTCATTAAACATTCTTCTTAATTCCCCACCAACATCCAAAATTTAATTTAGAAACAGACGCTGATACTGAAAAGATAACCATCTCCTCAAAATAAGTGCACCAGGACATCTCTTAATTTAGGGTTCTGCAAACCAAAGTTAGGGGTCTTGTTCCAGATTCTCACAAACATACAGCCCTTTGTTCCTTCTAGATATTCTTTTGTTTTACCTAATTCTGAGGTGCTATGGCCATCTGGGTGGGTTTCCATTTAAAGCCAATGTAATGGAAAGCTTGGCGTGATCATTCTCTTAGATTCACCTTTCCTCAACCAGAGCTCTCCTCTTGCTGCTTCTGGCTTAGCCTTGCTCCAGGCTAACATATTTCCAGGACTCAAATGGAATAATGTGAAAGAAAAGGCTGCGGGCCGCATTTAAAGATAACCTGAACACAGCGCGTGAGCCATTGGCGTTGTTTGTTCCATCAAAGAAGCAGCACTTTCTAAGCCTGCTGGGCACATCCCCAGGTCTTGGGTATCTGCAGAATTTAAGTGCCTCCGTTAGTCTACAGAAGGAACCTTGGTAACCATCTACTCTACCCTCACTTTATAGATGAGGAAATCAAGGGACCCCAGAAAGGTCTCATGACTTGCCAAGCTGTTGCGGT